AAATCTGGAATTACAAAAGACATGTAATATTACGAATATAAAAAGTTTTGACTTGAATATTAATATGTGAAATTGAAATACGGTGGTGATCTCATTTTCACGCACAACAAATAGTAACATGCTATATATATATATATATTATGTACATTACCGAACTTTTGTATATTAATATCCATTTTAGAAAATAATACACATTTTAAATTTTTTGGGGATTAATCGAGCTGTCAATTCAGCAATTTTTTCATTTAAATTTTTAATTTTTTCTTGTGCTTTTCTTAAGTCTTTTTCCAAATGTTTTTTCTCTTCAGTCTTTTCATCCACTTTTTTTTTGAGAATTTCAACTTCTTTTTGTAATTTTTCTTTTTCAGTCATATAGTTCCCAATTTTATCATTTATTCCTACAAGATTTTTTGGAAAATAAATTTCATTGCAATCACTTAGATGATCTAATATTTTTTCTCGCGAATCTGCTCTAGACATTTCGGCTATATCTTTATAATAACCAACCAATTGTGGATTATCCACATGAATAACCTTTTTGCATTTTTGGACTATTTCGGAAAGATTGCCATCATCTTTAATCATATTCTTATAATCTTTTTTACACTTATCGCTATTGTTAAATTCAGGAAAACAGGTTCTTACAATAGTAGTATATTTAACCACGTCCTTATCAAAAATAACAGCCCTTAATAAATCATAAGCTTGGATTTCTGTTTCCGTGAAACGTCCATTTATAACAAATAAAATTTGACTCAATCCATATTTAATAGAATCAGCTGCCTCTGCTAAGTTAAATAAAACTTGCTGTTCTGTAAATTTTGTATCACCAATTCCAATAGTATCAACTATTCTATACGACGTTCCTTCAATTAATCTTTCTATAATTTGATAATTTCTAGTTTCACTAGTACAACCTGAACCTTCGTCAAAATCATCAGTCCCAGCTATCACATTGGCCAAAGCAGACTTCCCACCACCAGTCCTACCAATTAACATTATTGTCCTTATAGGCTTGGTATCATTCTTTTTCCTTGGGTGTTCTTGGTTTGTATCAAAAGGTGCAGAATCATTTTTTTGCTGTTTCGAGTCTATCATTTCTCAAGGTAATGATTTAATTTTAGATTATATACTCCAAAATCTATTTTCGAAAAGAAGGAAGAAATTTGAATTATAATTATATATATTGATTAAGGCCATTGATGCTAAATTAGTTTAGAATGATTACTCGGCTGTATCCATCATAATTATCTCATAATTACTTACTTGACAGATAGATAAGTCATAGTAACAATCGATAAAATTAATTATTATAATAGTCATTTAATTAACTAACTGTATTGCTTCAATGATAGTTCACTAAATCGTATCTGAGTAGATGTAACAAGCAGAATGTAACTAACGTAACTGCATCGGGAGAACAAATCATTAGTTTGTATTTAGGTATGATGATGTAGTGAGCTCATTTTTGAAAATTGGGAAAAGGGAATTTACAAAATTTACAAAAATCACCAAGGACAGGTTGCACTTACTCTATTCAAAGTTTCTACAATTAATAAAGTAGCATCCACCCGCCGCTCTGGAAGAAGAGGCTTGTTTAGCGATTCGGCTTGAAGGGTTGGCAGATCACAACTTCATAGCCTGCTATAATTCATCTTGTGAATAGACCAGCAGACGTGATTTTATTGACATGTGATAAAACCGAATTTACGTTGATTTCTCCCTGTGGGACGGAATATACTCATTCATTGTATATTTTATACATATGAGACACATTTCTGACGTTTTAATTTAACTATTTTGTAAAATTTCATCCAAAACCAACCGCGTTGGCGTTGGATGTTGATCATACTAACTCATTAAAGGATGTTGAAGAATATCGCAAAAAAATTTATTTCACTCTTCTTAGAGATTTTTTAATTTTGGCACTAGAAGATTAGTCTTCAAAATCGTTTTACAGATTTTCAATTGGGTTTAGGTCAGATGATTGACTTGCCAATTTGATTTAGTTAAATTATACATTTTATTGAATTTTGGAAAAGAGTTAGATGTTACTTTGAAAAAATAATGGTCAAAAAACGTGTAATAAATTTTACATAAAGAATAAAAATATTTAAAGACATCCGTTTTAGGAAATAACACAACGTTTTCTGTCATTATTTCGATATGCTTGTTCCAATTCTTTAAACTTTTTTTCGTCTTCTTCCACTTTTTTTTTGAGATCTTCAATTTCTTTACGTAATTTTTCATAAATTCCATTTTGTTTTGGAAAATAAATTTCTTTACAATCACTTAGATGATCTAATATTTTTTCTCGCGAATTTGCTCTAGAAATTTCGGCTATCTCTTTATAATAACCAACTAATTGTGGATTATCTACATGAATAACCTTTTTACATTTTTGAATTATTTCTGAAAGATTGTCATTCTCTTTAATCATATTCTCATAATCTTCTTCACACTTATCGCTATTCTTAAATTCAGGAAAATAGGTTCTTACAATTGTGATTAATTCAACAACATCTTTATCAAAAAGTTCTCTCAATGAATCATAAGCGTGGACCTCTGCTTCTGTGAAGCGTCCATTTATAACAAATAGGATTTGATGTAATCCATCTTTAATAGAATCAGTGGCATCTGCTACTTGCTTTTCTGTCAATTTTGTCTCTCCAATTCCTACTGTGTCAATTATTCTATATAAATTATCGTCAATTAGATAACTATTAGTTTGATAATTTTTAGTTTCACTAGTACAACCTGAACCTTCACTAAAATAATCAGTACCAACTATCGCATTGGCCAAAGCAGACTTTCCACTACCAGCCCTACCAACTAACATTATTGTTCGTGCTGAATAAGCTCTATTATTTTTTATTGGGTGCTCTTGAGTTGTGTTAAAAGGCGCAGAATCATTTTTTTGTTGTTGCGAGTTTGTCATTTCCCAAAGTAATTATTATTAATAATTATTATTTATATATTTATTCCAAAATCTATTTCGAAAAAGAAAGAAATTTGAATCATATTATTATTATTATATATTGAATTAAGGGTGGGTCATTGATTCTAAATTGGGTTTAGAATGGTTGTCCGATTGTATCATAATTACCCAACAACAAAAATTATTTGTCGCCTGTTTTTTTTAGTTCATCTTACAAATTTTTTGTTAAATGATCTAATATTCTTGCCCTAAAAACTCTTTATTATTATAATGAACAATTAATGGTATATCGTCCATATAAATATTCATTTTGCACGTTTGGATTGAGAAAGACATAATTTTCTTTAATTATTCTTATAACAAAAGTAAATTTAATAACACCTTTGTCAAAATTTTTGATTTCTTCTCCGAACGAATCAACGAATCAAATCACCTGATTTTTGATTCGTTTCATTTGAATTGGACACGAGTCTGATAAATACTATCTAATACATACATATTAAAGTTTTTAAACACTTTATAACAAAAAACTGTAAAAGAAACAATAAATTAAAGTTCAATTCGATATCGTGTGTCCACCGTCATTTACTTGAAATGCATGCTTCTAATTCTCTTCAGCATAAATTAAGATATCTTTATTCGGGAATTTTCGACCGTTCCTCTTTCAAAACAGGCTCCGAATCCGTTGCATGTAAATTCTTTTTTTTTCAATCGTCTTTCAAATTCGTTCCTCAGTTATATTAAAGTCTGGCACCCAAATTATTTGCTCCAACTCTTCGTTTTTATCAAATTTAACAATTTATTTATTTTTATGAGTATACAAAGCTATAAAAGAATTGATTTTTTAAATCGAAAATTTTACATGCTATAACTTAAGCTACATAAAAAAACGAGGTTCGCAATATTACACACTTTAATTTCTTTTTGTAATGCATTTAGTCGATAAGTCATCAAATATTTCTTTTAGTTTACTGATATTATTTGCTGCTGCCTTTTCTACCTTCTCCAATTGTTTGTTCAGCTGGTTTTTCATTTCAGTTTCCTTTTGCAATTTTCTTTTTAGATCATCAATTTCTTTTTCTTTTTGGGCCATGTAATTTTTTAAATTTTTTAAATTTCTTGGCAAGTAAATTTCATTACAATCTTTTAGATGATTTAATATTCTTGCTCGCGAATCTGCTCTAAAAGCTTTGCCCGCTTCTTTAAAACGACCAGTTAATGGTAGATTATCTACATAAATAACCTTTTTACATGTTTGGACTATTTCAGAAAGACTATCATTTTCTTCAATCATGTTCTTAATATCCTTCATACACATATCATAATCATTAAAATCAGGAAAATTTGTTCTTACAATAGAAGTGAATTTAACAACATCTTTATCGAAAACAACTTCTCTCAATAAATCATAGGCTTGAATTTCAATTTCTGTAAAGTGCCCATTGACAACAAATAAAATTTGATGAAATCCAAATTGAATACGATCAGCTGCCTCTGCTAATTTATTTAAAACTTGCTGGTCTGTCAATCCTGTAGCCCTGATTCCTACTGTATCTACTATTCTATAAGATTTTCCATCGATTAAATAATCTTTAATTTCATATTCTTTAGTTTTGCTAATAGAGCCTGAACTTTCTTTAAAATCATCGGTACCAGTTATCACATTTGCCAAAGTAGACTTTCCACTGCCAGTTCTGCCAATTAATAAGATTGTTCTTAAAGCATAAGTTTCATCGTTTTTTGTTCGTTGTTCTTGAGCTATAGTTGAAGGTTCTGATTCTTTTTCTTCAATATGCGTAATTGTCATTTTTATTTTTAAGAAAAAATTTTTTTATAAATTTTTATTACCATATTTACCATAATAATAAAACAATATATGCAACATTACCCAAAATCATGTCATCCGGTTTGGGGAGGGGGGTTATAAGCTTTCAACGTTACATGTAATATGATCCAATGAATTCTTTTTCATTTTATCAAAATTTTGGGGAGGAGGGGGTATGAGTTTATATCAAAGCGAAATGATGTCGTTTTGGGCACTCCCCTAAATATTCGATAAAAATTAATACACAATCTTAATTTTCACATAAAACGCCTGCTTAAGCATAGAGACTATTGGTAGTGTTAATCCTTGAGTTTTAAGAACCGTAAGTGCGAAAACATTTTGTAATGGTGCCAGCATCCTTTGACACAATAATGTCAACCATGCTATTACGAATGCAAAAAAACAACCCTAACAGTATCATGACTAAATCTTTGTACAAATGTGGTTTATATTCCATGACATTGGTCTTCACAAGATTAGCAACCAATTTTTTCATCACCATCCATAATTTTCCAAGACGCAATTCTTCTGCAGCTCATCATCTCATTTAATTCCTTACATTAAAAAATCCTTGCCAAATCAATAATACAATATATAAGATGTGATTAAATGCCAATTTATAGTCATTTTTATTGTCCTGTAAAACTTTGACGTTTAAACATAAAGTATTTTACATACTAGCAATTTTTTGTGTTTTTCAGAGTATCTTCTCTTTGTTTGATATCGTCTATGTAATTCTTTTTGTTTTTCACATGGGTTGTCGACAAGCAGTATTTGAATTTGAGTCACAAGTAATGTCGCTGGAGGAGAAAGATGCTAAAAAGTGTCAAACAGATTTGTTTTAATATTAAAGAATTACCTTTCGTGCTTGTTTCTGTAAATCAATATAATTAGCATCCATGTCATCTTGGATTCTTTATGAAAACTAATTCCACCTGGATCAGAAACTACCTCTTCCACAGTTGTTCTTCCTGTTATAAAAAAAAATAACAAAATAAAACAAAATAAAAAGGGCTACAGGTCGCACCAAAATCTCAATGATAACCAATAAAATAGATTCAAGGAGATTAAAGCAAGACAAGGATCCCTCAATTGTAGCATATTAAAATTGAAAAAAGCCACATGCTACACTAAGATTTCTGCAGTATCCAATAAAATAGAATCAAGCAAAGAAAGCGACCCTTAAGCAATTACAATTAAAAAGAAGAAAACATGGGGAATGCTGGAAACCCTTTTTCCTTTAACTTGTTATCATTACAATATTTGTTGAACAGGGTAGTTTTTTCATACTCCATATACTCTAAATATGTTGAGGAACGAAAAGGATAAAAGGATAGCAGATAAAGTGAATCAACCAATAAAAATATTTTTTTCCTTTTTTTGCTTTTCAAGCTTTTAGCATGGTTGTATGAATAGATATGCGTTACACGCATTCAAAATTTTCTGTGTATATATGGAAAAAAAAACATTAATTTGAATATTGTATGTAGGAGTATGCAATGATCAACTTTATTTTTGTTGTTTGAACGTGCTATTTATCCTTTTTAATATTTTTCGCGTTTTTTATCTGAAAAAAGGGGCTGTCTTCATCTATTTTGAGAATATTATAAATTAAATCCGTGTTCGCTTCATTCGTTTCACTTCTTCCCTCAACAACTAATTATATATACAATAAATATTTTTTCCTTGAATAAAATATATATTAATATACATATAAAACATCATTTACTCTTGCATATTGCTTTGCTCATTTGAACTTATATATGATGGTTAGTCGTGACGACAGTAACAATAATGATAATGATAATCAAAACGATTGGGAACAATCAAATTTTTTAAATATGATAGACTTAATCCAAAATATAAATATGATATATCAACAATTCGTTGATCAAATCAAAGAAATTACCGAAATACAAAAACAGACTTTATCAGCAATTACATCAACAAATTCTCACCACTTACAATCACTTCTACAATCCCAACTACAATCCCAACTAGAATCGTTGCTAGAATCACATATGCAACTTCAATCACGACTTCAATCTCAATCTCAACTTCAATCTCAATCTCAACTTCAATCACAACTTCAATCACACGATGAACAACCAAGACAATCACACCTAGAGTTACAACTAGAATCGCAATTCCAACAACTTAGTTTGTCAGGACCATCATCATCATCATCAGATGGTTTTCCACAATTTTCTTCACAACCTGGCACTCATTATTTGTAATTCAAA